ATGTGAGATAATGTACCTGGCACTGGGGAGGCTCCACCTCCAGTCCTGTGTCCAGTTCTGAGCCCTTCTCACCAAGAAAGACATTGAGGGGCTGGAGTGTGTCCAGGGAAGGGAACAGAGCTGGGGAAGGGTCTGGAGCACCAGGAGCAGCTGAGGGAGCTGGGGGGGCTCAGCCTGGAGAAAAAGAAGGCTGAGGAGGGACCTTCTTGCTCTCTGCAACTCCCTGACAGGAGGGTGGAGCCAGGTGGGGGTCGGGCTCTGCTGCCAGGGAACAAGGGACAGGACAAGAGGAAACGGCCTTAAGCTGCACCAGGGGAGGTTTAGATTGGATACTGGTGAAATGTTTTTCACAGAAAGGGTTTAAAGCATTGGAACAGACTTCTCAGGAAAGTGGTGGAGCCACCATCGCTGGAAGTTTTCAAAAATCGTGGATATGACACTTGGGAACATGGTTTAGTGGTGAACATGGTGGTGGTGCTGGATTGATGGTTAGTCTTGGTGATCTTAGAGATCTTTTACAACCTAAACAATTCCATGATTTGATACTATTTGAGTCTCCCTTCCCCACAAATAAATTTAGGAATTTTTCTGCATGTTTGAGAGTTGTTCCTAGAAATTGTATTGGAACAAATATTTTTTTCAGAACTCAATTGATCACCCAGACCACCCTCACTTGCCCTCCCCATGACATTGTACCTGAGGGATTCCCATGGCAGACATGACTGCTTCATTGTAGAAAATCCTGCCACCGTGCAGTTTGTCAGGAAACAGCTCTGACTGATGTACAGAGAAAAGAAAAAATGAATTTTAATATTAACTATAAAAGCTGGTGCCTCCTCTTCACTCCATTCATTCCCAAATATGTTGTAACTGAACCTGGGAAGGTCCTCACTCACAATCACACCTGAACCTTTCATATACAGCATGCACTATGGTATTTCTTCCATTGTGAAATCCCAAAAATACACCCATGTCTTTCATGATTTTTTGTGTAACTAATTTATTCTAAACAAACTGAAACTGTAAACATGGAGAAGTGGAGGCTCATGTTCCTACTTTATCTGTAAAATGCCTTCAGCAGTTTCCCTTTTTATTCAGTTTTTGCTACAACTCCTTAAGTCAGATAAAAGCTTTTGCTGTGTGCTTGCTTTCAGTGTGGAGAGGGAACAACCACAACCTCTGTGATAGGATGACCTTTTCCATTGGAAAGGAACCTGTGCAAATTCTCCTTTTGTACTAAGAATTGGAAAAACTGCACTTTTAAAGGCCATGGACATTGGTGCATTGCTAGCACAAACAAGGCAATAAAACAGAGAAAACTATAGATTCTGAAGCCTCTCACACTAGGTACTGGTTTATTAAAGACAAAAAAGCAGCTCTGCACACTCATTCAAGTTTCTAAACTGTGAGTAGATGCAAGATTAGCCAAAGGGATGAAATCACACAGATGTTTTCTCCTCTGCAGTGGTGCCAGCATTACCTGCAGTGGTAGGAATGCTCCCCCGCTGTCCACAAGGTGCACAGACAGCAGCCTGTTCTCCATGGCAATTTCTTGGGCTCTTAACTGTTTTTTCACTCCAATTGGGTAAATAGTGCCTCCTTTCACAGTGGCATCACTTGCCACGAAGACACACCAGATTCCACAGATTTTGCCAATTCCTGTAATTCAATTCAAATCAGTTCCACAGATACTTATCATGACTCTTTAAAATAACACACAAAACAAGGGGGCCAAATTACAGCCAAGAGGTTTTTTTCAGTAATACTGTCTCAAGAAGATCCAAATCAACTTGAAAATACCACAAAGGAAAGAAATCTATCCCTCTTCTCTGGAATAACCATGACATTAAAAAAGTAATCCAAATGACAGAAGACAGAACTTCAAATAAACTTACGTACTCCTGGTGACAATGAAAGAGAAAAACTTTGACTCCCAACCCTTGAGATAAAAAAGGGGAGGCAATTAAAAGTTACCCCTATAAAACCGAAAAAGGTAACAATCTGTAATAAAAGAAGGACTTCATACTCTGTTCTTTTAAATTCTTTTTAAAAAGGAATTTTGAAGAGTGTTTTTTTTTCATTTTGAAATTAATTTTGAAGAGTGGTTCCAGTTTAAAAAGACAATGTTTGCACAGACAATGCAATTGTCTACGATTAGAAAAACACTACAAAATAAAAACCACAGCTCCTGTGTCTCACATTTACTTTGTACCCTCTCCTTCAACAGGCAACAGCTGATTTTATACATCACCCTAAATTTTTTGAGACAAAAATCAATAACTGGTAAGTAGAATAAATTATTAAAACTGGAAGAAATAAAAGACTTTTTAAAAAAAGGTTTCTCTCAGATTTCCCCCCCAAAAATCACATAATAATAATACAGCAGGGCTGAACTCTTCCCTGTTGGGAGCTGCTCCTGGATAGAACTGATGTTCACCTTTCCTAGGAATGCACAGATACTAAAATATTCCATAAAACTTATGACATGCACCCTTTTTCCTTTCCTTTTTCCTTTGCCATTCCATTTTCCATTACCAGTGAGGCATCCAGCAGCAGGGACATCCCCATAGGGCATGTTGAGCCCTGCCAGAGGGGACAGCTCCAGGAAAGACTCATCATCCAGCAGCAGCTTCAGGCGCTCCCGAACAAACAGCTTCTTATTGCGCTGAGTGTGGCGCAGGATGGCGTTTTCTCCCCCTCCTTTCCTCACCCTCTCCAACAATTCCAAGTATCTAATGGAAGAAACAAAGTTTCAGTTAATGGAAACAAAGCTGTGTGGTGCGGTCACGCTGGAGGGGAGGGATGGCATCCAGAGGTATCTCAACAGGATGCAGACGTGGGCCTGGGGGAACTTCAACAAGGCCAAGAGCAGGTGCTGCCCCGGGTCTGGGCAATCCCGAGCACAAATCCAGGCTTAGCGAGGAATGGATCGGGAGCAGCCTTGGGGAGAAGACTTGGGGTGTTGGTGGATGAGAAGCTCAACATGTCCCATCTAGAGAAGGCCATGGAGATGCTTCCAGGGCTGGAGCCCCTCTGCTCTGGAGACAGGCTGGGAGAGCTGGGGGTGTTCACCTGGAGAAGAGAAGGCTCCAGGGAGAGCTTAGAGCCCCTTCCAGTGCCTAAAGGGGCTCCAAGAGAGCTGGAGAGGGACTTGGGACAAGGGCCTGCAGGGACAGGACAAGGGGGAATGTCTTCCCACTGACAAAGGGCAGGGTCAGATGGGATACTGGGAAGGAATTCTTGGCTGTGAGGGTGGTGAGGCCCTGGCATGGGTTGCCCAGAGCAGCTGTGGCTGCCCCATCCCTGGAAGTGTCCAAGGCCAGGTTGGATGGGCTTGGAGCAACCTGGGATAGTGCCACGTGTCCCTGCAGGGAGTGGAACGAGATGGGATTTAAGACCCCTCCCAACCCAAACCATTTGATGACTCTATGATTCATTATAAGTTACCTTTGAGTAGACTGAACATAGTAAAATATATTGCACAGTTTTCATATAAATGGCAAGAGAAAGAAGATGAACTCACATTTTTGGATTGTTTTTTCTTACAAAGTGTAATAAAAAGCGAAGATCTGTTATGTAAAGCAAGCATTTTACTTTCCTTATTCAAAAACTGTCTAATAAAGGCAATAATATAATATATAAAAATAAGTCTAACAATGTGCTCATCCTATCTCAGCATGAATCTCCATTTCTAACTACTCTAGGGAAGAAGCCAAACAAAGGCTTCCTCTGTCAACTCCCTTTAAATAGTTTATCTGACAAAAATCATTAACTGATAAGTAGAATAAATTACTAAATCTAGAAGAAATGCACACTCTACTGCATGGAAGATACAGTAACAGTAGTGAACATTGCAGTGGAAGGAAGTGATTACCAAATGTTATTGTCAGGGAAGCCTCAAGTTTAGATAAAGAACTGAATAAACTGTAAACAAATGTGGTATCTCAAATAATTTTGGTCTTAAATAAACCAGGTTTTTCCTTTATTTCAAGCACAACGTTTTTCCCCCAGATGCATCATCTTTAACTATAAATGCTGTTTGACACAACTACTCACACAGCACTCCGTGTGTGACTCCATTATCTTAGCGTGGCTCCCTGCAGACCGTGGAGGTCGGAAAAGCTCTGAAGGAAAAAGCTAAGGATTTTGATAAAGTCCTAAATGCCACCACAGGAGGGCACAGTGTGTTTTCTGTAGCTTTCCTTCCAGCTCATGGATCACTCCCTGAACAAAGGCCTTTGCATTTTTGCCATCTGATCTTTCAGGACTAATACATAAAATGCATTTTCCTGCTTTTATCACTGAATCACGACTGACTGCAGTAACTGTCTCCTACTCTGTCAGGAGTGTGTGAGTCACCATTTATGTCTTTGCATTCAAAATCCAACACGAAACAAATGTTATGAAGGTCTAAAAAAAATACTTCTTAGCAATATATGCAAAACAACACATGGCACTATGTTAAATACAGTTTGCACTTCGATTTGGATATTTCAGTCAACATTTCACAAACGGGTTAGGTTAGGAGGGACCTTAAAGATCATCCCATTCTAACCCCTGCCATGGGCACGGACACCTTCCACTATCCCAGGTTGCTCCAAGCCCCGTCCAACCAGGCCTTGAACACTTCCAAGGATGGGGCAACCACTGTCCATATGTTGAAATGCCTGTAAGTAATTCTCACACCGTGCTACAAGCAGCAACACTTTTAAACCCCCACAAAACCGGTTTATTACCTTTTAACCACAGCCTCGCTGTTCCTTAAATTCTGTTCGAACACATGTCGGTGCACAGCGAGGACACGTCCGTCCAGAACTGGGTACGTTCGGGGGTGCCGCCTGTATTTTGACTTATTACTCACAAATCGGCGTGGGGGCAGGTGGTGTGTCCTTCCCCAGCCCTGGCCATGCACCAGGAGCTCCCGATATTCCCTCTGGAGCAGGCGGGTCAGGGAGGGCCCGGGGCGGCTCCTGCCCAGGGCGCACAGAGGGGCCGTGCTCCACATGGTCCCGAGAGCTGGGAGACAACAAACAGCGCTTAGTGACGGGAATTACAGCGTGGATTCTCTCGGCTCAGGGACAATGCGGCCCCCTCGCCTCAGGGGGGGCCGTGAGGGGACAGCCCCGGTGCCTGCCCTGCCATGTGGGCCCTGCGGGGACACCCCCTGATAGACGGGGACCGTGAAGGGACAGCCACTGTTCCCTCCCTTCTCCGAGGGTCGTGAGGCGACATCCTGACTCCAGTCGGTCGTGAGGGGACACCCCTCTTTCCGCCCTTCCACGGGGGTCGTGAGGAGACACCGTAAGTTCCTGCCCCGCCAAGGGGGTCGTAAAGGGACACCTCCTGTTCCCGTGGAGGTCGTGAGGGGATGCCGCGGCTCCCCCTGCGCCCCCGGGCCGGGCGGGCCCCGCCGGGCCTGCGGAACGCGGCGGGGCCAGGGCCGGGGCCGTGCCGGGCAGGGAGCGCGGGGCTGCGGCCCCTCCGGCGGGGCCCCCCGGCCCGGCCTGGCCCTCTGCCCGCCGCTGGCTCCGCTCCGCGCCCGCCGCGGCCCGGCCGTATCCGTCCCACCGTCCCTGACTTACCCCGTCCTGTCCGGGCCCGCCTCACGGGGCGGCTCCGCGGAGCGGCCCGCCCCGGTGTCCGTGCCCCGGGTGTCCTGTGCCATGTGTGCCCTGTGTCCTTGGTATCCTCAGCCCCGAGTGTCCCGTGCCCCGTGTGTCCTGTGCCACACGTGTCCTGACCCCTGGTTGTCCCATTCCTTAGGTGTCCTGTCCCCTAGGTGTCCCTTGTCCCAAGAATCCTGTTCCCTGGGTTTCCTGTGCCATGTGTGTCGTGTGCCCTGCGTCCCAGGTGTCCTGTACTCAGGTGTCCTGTGCCCACTGTCCTGTGCCATGTGTGTCCTTTGCCCGGGTGTCCTGTGCCCCCAGTGTCCTGTTCCCTGGGTGTCCTCTCTCCAATCAAATTTATCATTAAAATATTAAAACTAGTTTGTTTTATTTTTCTCCTTCCATACCCCATCCCATCCCTGGGCTGCTTCAGTTTGCTACTGTCAGTCATGTCATAACCTTCTAGAAATTACTGTGTGTTGCCTTTCAGCGCCTTCATTAAAATGCATCCCTGCCAGAGAGCTCTTTATCCATATTATACATATTAATAAGGCTGGGTTGTGATAATTAAGTGATGACTAATATGTTCGTGAGTGAAAGTATCCAGCATAGCCTGGAATTTGTAGGTAAATAAGTTATATATGTTATTAAAAAATCTTGAGGATAATAATTAAGATTTGCTGAGCTATTCTAATTAAAAATATATTTTTTTGTCCTTCCACAGTTAGAGCAGACAGGACAGTCTGGTGTTGTGCTCCCTTGTATCAGAAACTCAATGCAGATGGAGCTGTGGGAAGTGACATCACTGCCTTGGGTGGCTTCAGCTGTCCCTTGGGAAGTGCCAGAGTCCCTCCTGCTGTCCCAAACCCTGTGACAGGGAGATGAAGGTCTGTGCTGGACCTGGGGAGAGCCCAGGGAGCATGGAGCAGAGATCCTCTGTCAGAGAAAATGTAGCACTCAAGGATAACATAGACACTGCAGAGGGTCAGGCAAGGTCTGAAGTGGCATGTCTGCACATGTAAATAATCTCTTTAAAAAAATAGGATCTCAGATCTGATTTGCATTTTCCTAAAATGCTCATTAATTCTGGACCAGTCAAAACGAGGCAAGTGGTGGGCGTTTGTTACCAGTAATCACAGAATCCCAGACTGGTTTGTGTTGGAAGGGACCAGCGCACCTCATTCCACTCCCTGCCATGGGCAGGGACACCTTCCATTATCCCAGGTTGCTCCAAGCCCCATCCAGCCTGGCCTTGGACATTTCCAGGGATGGGGCAGCCACAGCTTCTCTGGGCAACCTGTGCCAGGGCCTCACCATCATCACATGGAAGAATTCCTTCCCAATATCCCATCTAAGCCTGCCCTCTGGCAGTGGGAAGCCATTCCCCCTTGTCCTGCCCCTGCAGGCCCTTGTCCAAAGTCCCTCTCCAGCTCTCTTGGAGCCCCTTTAGGCACTGGAAGGGCTCTAAGGTCTCCCTGGAGCCTTTTCTTCTCCAGGTGAACACCCCCAGCTCTCCCAGCCTGTCTCCAGAGCAGAGGGGCTCCAGCCCTGAGAACAGCTCCGTGGCCTCCTCTCAACTGAATAATGAAACTATTAACAAGCACACTAATCTGGACACGTGTTGTGGCACTGATGCAGCCATGAGAAGTTCCTGATGGAACCCATGGATGAATTCAGCAGCTGCTGCATCATTTGGGCTGGTTTGGGGCATTTGTGCCTTGGGTTGTTGCTCATTTTAGTTCACATCTTCCCTCCTTCCCTGGTGTAGTCAGGACTCTTTTCTCTCAACAGTTTGAGAAACTTGTGAACAGCTGAAGAGGAGAGACAGAAGTAATTATGCAGATTTGCATAGATCTTGCATTTCCCATGGGATTTAATGTGAATTTTTGTGCTCTGTGTGGTGCAGGTGATAATGGGGAAGGAAAGAGTGGTGACAGAAATCCATGTAAAGCAGCAGAATATATTTGAGGAGGTGTGAATTTCAAAGAGGTGTTGGTAGCTGTGAAAATGCTGCATGCTCGTGTTCGGCTTGCTGGAGAAGGAATTGCAGGTGCAAATGCTTGGATATGTATTCCAAGTGAGATTTGGGCTTCCTGTTATTTCTGGGCTTTTTTTTAAAGCTGACCCATATATCATTTCATGAATTAGTAAGATTTTTTCCTACTCAGTTCTGTGGATGTATCAGTGACTCCTGTTCCATTATAATTTTCACAGTTCTTATTTCATTTTCCATAATTAAGTATGTGGCTTCCATAAGAGACACTGTCTCTAAACTGCTAGTGTTGTGTGGCAATTCCATCTCATGTGATTTTAATTTGAAGATTTTTTTTTTTTAAATACCTCTTGCAGTTAATTTTTTATTGCTTATATTGTGGTGGCCTTGGCAGTGCTGGGTTAACAGTTAGACTTGATGATCTCAAATCTCTTTTCCAGCCTAAATGATTCTGTGATTCTTTATTATTGTACAGGTTTTCCAGTAGATAGAATCAGTGTTCACAGGCAGGATTTGCTGTATTTAACTCAGGTGCCTTTTACTCAGTCTTAAATGAGTAATTTAATTTCATTCTCATGAAAGCTGGATGCTCTTTGCACAGATTAAAGGATAAAGAAACGCTTTTCCCTGCATTTCAGCCCCCATATATATGTGAGTGGATGCTTATCACAGACAGAAGGTATCAGCCACCAGTTTGTACTGGGAGACAGCTTGGTATAAATAACAAATCCTCTAATTAAAAGCCAACAGATCCTAATTGACTTATTTTAGTCCTTAAACTGGGATCAGCCTTTCTCTCTTGCTATGGCATGGAGCATCCTTTGTTTAACAAACACTAAGGGGGAATCGAGTGAGGGAGGAAAAAACAGCCCTTCTGAGAGGCTGCAGCCGTGTGCAAGTGTTTGAAGTTGTTATTTTAGGAGCTTATTTTAGTGACTTTCGAGCTGAGCATTGAGAATATATAGAGCAGCATTTAGGGAAAATGCTAATGTGGTGGTGGCTTCCTTTACCATGAGCTGCAGCTCTGCCAGCAAAGCTGAAATGTGCCATTTAAGGAACACCGAAGCTTTGAGGGAAGTTTGAACTCAGCTGGATTTAGAAACTTGCTGGAGTGCACCGGATGCTGGGGGAAACCAGAACACACTTTCTGGATTGTCAGACCAAAGGCAGGAAGGTTCCCACAAAGCCCTCCTCCTTGTGGAGCTTCTCTTTCTTATTTAGATTTTGTTTTTTAATACCCAAAAAGCTTTTAGTGGTGTTCTGACAATGGGGGCCTGGAAATTGGGCTAAATTAAAACAGGTTTTGTTTCTTTACTTAGAAGTGCTAACAGACTCAGACAGTCCCACTGCATTTTCAGGGCTTACATCATTCTAAAATAGATTTAATAGATTCAAAACAAATTTGATAATGAAGTAACTTCCACTTGGTGTGTTTGCATCTATTCCAAAGGAAAAGCTCAGCCTTGTGAGGTGTGCTGAACTGCATTTGATATGAAATAGTAAGAAGTTTATTTTAGTTGCAGGAAAATATAAGAGAACGTGAGGAATTAAATGAATCAGTTGGAAGATGGGAGATCAAATGCAAGAGAAGTTGGGAGCCTGATCCTCAGTAAGTAAATTTAATTTCCACTGAGGATGTATCAGATGCTCCCATACAATTTAGCTTCTTATTTTGGATGGCTTAAAGTTTTATAAATCCCCACACAGAGAGAGGTGCAGAGCCAGGTAGGCCTTCGCAAACTGTGCCAAAAGATGAGGGTGAGCAGCTGAGTCATGGAAGTCTTCTGCACATGTCTTCAAGTACAGCTGTATGAGACAGCAGATGTATTACAACACCTATAAAAATACCTATTAGAGTCAAACCCTTATCCACATTTATTTTTCACACCATTTAACATAGTATCACAGTATTTTTTACCTGTAGTTTAGCCTTCCCAGGTTCCCAGTCTGTTGCCACAAAGACCTGACAAACCCATGTATAATTGCATAATAATTCCAATCGTGGAAACACAGCTGATTTGGAGAAGACAGAGAGTGTGTACACTTGCTTACATTACTGAAAAATGGGAGTTTCTGGTTTGTCTTACTCCTGCAAAAAATGCACAGAACAAAAAGAGCAGAACTATCTTCTGGTTAAGAGATAATTAATAGTGCGTACATAATTAATAGTGTGTACAATTCCCTGTTGCAGGGCCAGAGTCTGTCCTGAATTGCACTGCTACAAGCTGAAGAGAACAGAATTCCATTCTAAGAATGCAGGTAACTGGTGATACCCAAATGAGAAAAAAAATAACTTGGGCTTTCCTGGGTTGAAGTGGCAGAGCCAGATCACCTGTTGGTTTTACCTGTACAGGTCGGTGCAATCACTGAGTGGCTGCTGAAAAACTTGTACAGCTGCAATATGCAACAACTGTGTGAAGATCTGTTTCTTCCTCTGTTTAAAAGGCCTAACCAAGAGTCTTCTGAAGTCATCAGAAAGCTTTTTGTAGGTTAGAGGATCTGCAGATTCAGTTGCAAACCCTGGTGGATGATTCTAGGAAAGTGCTGATGGATTTATTCCCCTGTGCGAGCGCTTTGCACTGAGTGGTGACACCAAAGCCTCAGCCTGTGTCCGACTGTTTGGAGTGCCTTGAACATGGTTTTGTAAGGCCATTGCTAGCTAGTAATTGGGGAGTGGATGTGGTCAGGGCAGTCAGATAAACACATGGAGGGAGGGGATGAATCACTGAGTAAATACACTATCGATGCTGTAGGAGCTGCTGTTACGCACAGCACGTTGGGGGGATGTGACGTGTTTGTTTCCTGCTCTCAGGAAAATGTTACTTGAAAGAGGAATTGAGGCTAAATGTGTATTTCCAAATTTGCATCTCCACACCTTCCTCATGCCTGTCTTGTCTCCTTTAGACTCTCAACCAGTTGCTAGTTTAACATACCCCCCTTCTTCTTACATATCCCCTTAGAATTGGATCCCCCACTCTGAGGTCATACCAGAAAATTTTCCTTTGCTGTAAATATCAGTGTAATTGCATCATCAAAAGCCCCTAAAGCAGATGGTCTGGGTTAAAGCAAAAAGACATTTATGCCAGTGAAACAGTATTATAGTTATTAGTGCAGTGTGTTGGCAGTTTCTGTCAGCAATTTTTGCAACCATGTAATATATGAAAGGATAAAAACACTATATACTGTGATTTGCTTGCCACATAAAGATGCCAGAGTGATATAGTACCAAAAAGAGGAAGAAAAGCCCTGGAAGTAGTCTTTTGTCCTGTCTTTTGCACTTTTCCAGGTTCTTGGTGGATACACTAAATCTACTTGAAGAACCTTATGCTCCTTATGGTGACTCGGACACCTCCTTATCCAGCAGCCTCCAGGCAGCCTGAGCCATCCTGGATGATGATTATGATCTTCAAGATTCCTTCCAACCCAGGCCATCTTTGTGATCCCTGGGCATACAGAACCATCAGCTTTGGAAGGAGCTGGATGCCAACGGTTGTGTGCATCCAGGTAAAGGTCTATTCATTCCTGTTTACAGTGTTGAAGATTTAACCATTAAAAAGGCCTAATTAGAAGACAAATTAGATCTTTAATCACCCTGTTGCAAGATAAAAAGCATGGAGATACATATATATATATATGATGTGTATATATATGCCTATGTGCTGAAATGAATTCTCCAATCCTCTACTGGTTTTTTTATTTATAATAAAAAAATCTTTGTTCAGAAGAAGGAAAGATCAACATTTGTTTCAGCAGTGGTCAGTACATTCTCTTCACGTACCCTGTGCACCTAATTCACCATTTCCAGCCCCCAGTTCTCACATGCTTGCTCCCTCTCTGCCATGGCAGAGTCCTCAGACGTGGATTGTTTTGAGATCATGGAACACATTTTGATCTCAAAATCATGGAACACGTGGAACACATTTTTGAAGACAAAAACCTCATTTCTGAGCTTGGAACTACATGAAATCTGCCATGATTTGTAGAATATTTCTACCTTGAGTTTTGGTGCCAAGTTTCAGCAAGGAACTGAGTATTAAACAACAATACATAGAAAATCACAGACAAGATGCTGCAGTGATACCATAAAATCCTTCTCCAGTTCCTGCTTTCCTGATCCACTTGGCATAAAATGTCTTCTTGACTTCTACTTACTATTCTCATAAAAACCACAGGGGTTTCTTCTCACTGCTACTTGTTGTGTCAAAGATCCAGTAATTGGTACCATGTGAATTAACACTTTGCAGTGACAGAACAGAGTGCACACACCACACTGAGAAATGGGGTTCTGGAAAATCACTTCAGCATTTCAATCTCTGGCAAACATCAGGGCTGGAAACCCACATCAAGTAGCTTATGTTAGTCCTGCCAGTAACCACCTATATGAGTATTTACAGCTCAGATGTAATCATGATAAAAAATTAATAATTGTTATATTTTTGTGAAAATTCTGTCATATCTTTATACTGGAGTTGTTTTATCCTTGGTTTTCATGTACTCCCTTGCAATATTATACACTTGTTATAATTTTAGTTATTGGTAACATGTTTAGCTTAGTTTGGTGCACTAAAAATTAAGTCTGTGGTTCATGATATTGACTGTGAAACACAGTGAACAATTAGTGACAGCAGAAAAAAAAATGAAAAAGAAAAATCAGTCACAACACCCTGCAAAGTCTTAAGGTATATTTTAAGAGATTGATGGAAGGGCTTGAATTCTCCAGCCTCCTGTGGGTTACCTCTACTCTCCGGGCTACTTGGATCACCTTCTCCCTGATGTCCTTGACTTAATTGAGCTGTAGTGTGAGAAACACTTGTTCAACAACTGCAGGCGCCGGCGCCGCAGGGGAGCCCTTCAGCTGGGCTGGAGAGGGAGGGCTCTGGGATTCTCCAGGCTGCTCAATCCAGCCCTCAACACACAGAGCTGGATAAAGCCTTCTTGAAACCCCTCAGGCACTGGGTAGGTCTTTTGATTCAAAATCTTTTTGAACTAGAGTCACCTATTGCAGCTCTCAGCCTCGCTGTTGCATAAAAGAGGGCTTCGAATTTCTCCCCTTCTGTCTGACAGGATCCTTTTTTCAGCAGTCAGCCTACATGGCCACAATTTAATCATTTAACGTGACAAAAAGACCTGACAATGGGTTCTCAATTCTAATGGAGTCATTTTTAGCTGGTATTGTTAGAAATGAAGTAAAAAAAATGAACACAGGCTTTCAAACTGGAAGCAACCGGGTACTTTTAAGAAGCTGTTCTGGAAAACTGGCTAAGCAGTGCTAAAGAAAGGGAAGGAAATTTCAGTGTTGTCATGACAAGTTACTTTAATCCAGTAAAATCAGGACTGTGAGAGTAAGAACTCTGTAGCTGGAGATGGCAACTTGCTGGTGCCAGACCCGGCCCATCACTTAATCACCTCGTCTTTGTTTCTGCTGGTTTTGGTGCTGGATGAGGAATATCTATGAGTAAGGCTGAATATATCCATGATATGGGAAAAACAAGATGGAACAACAGTTTTGCTGCTGGCAGATGTCACTGAGAGCTTCCCGTGGCACTTGAGGCTGGGGCACTGACTGTGCAGTTCTCTTTGCCCTCCCAGTAAATCCAGCCCAAACTGGTGACCCAGGGAACAAACAGGGAACTTTGGACATTCAAAGAGAGATGTTATAGAAAGCCCAGAAACCATGGCTGAGATAAGAATTTAGCAGAGGGAATTTTTCCACTAAAACCTCCAAGAGATTTCCAGTTGTCATGTTTTTAGCTTGAAAAATGTAATCCAACTCTCTCATTTTCAGGTCTCTGACCATTATCCTCTGGTCTCAGCAGAAGAGCAGAGGTGTAATTAACAGGTTCATTAATGCCAGAGTAATAATTATGAACTGCAGGAGTGGCAGGAATGCTTACTGTAGGACTGAATTCTGATTTTACAGAACTCAGGAGAAACGTATGGAAAGGTCAAAAAAATTCGTGAAAAATATTATTAAATCTGAATCTAAAAATACCAATATGTTTAAAAAAGAGGAAGTGTAGCAGGTAGCTTACACAGTGTGTCTGTACATAAATTTCAGTTATAACAGTACTTAAAATGATGCATTTTTATTTCTTTCCTTTCCACAGCACGATCAGAACCTGTCTTCTACGAAGGGCACCAGGGCGGAGGGTTTGGGGTGGCACCAAGGCTGCGGCTGGAAGAGCCCGTGGCCCTTCCTGTCCCTCCTGAGCTCACCTGTGTGAGAACAGCCCCGGGCAGCGGGTGGGACAGACGGGAGGGCTCCGTGCCTGGCCCATCGCCTCACTGCGGCACTGCCGCTGCTTATTTGCTCTCTGTATCACTTCTCCCCAGGAGCTCAGAGGAATCAGCAAATCTCCTCCAGCAGAGCTACGAATCCCCAGTCCAGTTCATTCAGGCGCAGCGGGACCGCCGGGAATTAATCCGAGGGGGAATGCTGTGAATTCCTGCGCTCTCTTTCTTTGCTGGGCGCAGCTGGTGGCGGGGCCACTGCCAGATGAAAGCAGGGCTGTCAGCTCCCAGCAGCTTGGCTCCAGCTGCATTCCAGGGCACGGACTGGCCTCAGCTGGTCCTCGGGTGCCGCTTCCCTCTGCCAGGTTAGACACAGGAGGAGTCCAAATTCCATACACCTCACTTTTCTAACTTTCAGTCTGTTTTTTTGGAGTTGCCAAATTCTCTGAGACAGAGCTAGAATTGAGCTGTTTTTGAATGCTAGGCCACAGCATCACAGACCCCAGGGATGGGAGTATTTCTTGACAGTCCATCATCTTGCCACTTTGGAGTTGTTCTTTTTCTGATCTTCAGTTTTCTAACTGAGATTTCCATGATGTAACAGGGAAGCTATTCTTAAAGGGCTTTTCATAGGGAATTCTGTTTTCTTTAGGATGTCAGTGCTCAGTTACTGTAACGCTGGCACGGGTTGCCCAGAGAAGCTGTGGCTGCTCCATCCCTGGAAATGTTCAAGGCCAGGTTGGATGGGGCTTGGAGCAGCCTGGGATAGTGGAAAGTGTCCCTGCCCTTGACAGGGGGTGGGACTGTATGGGCTTTAAGGTCCCTCCCTACCCAAACCATTCTATGAGTCTACAATTCTATACATTTGGGATTTGAAGATTTGTTTACATTTTAACATATATAATTCCAAAATTATATTTCATTGCTATTTTGTCACTCTGCAGCTATTTTTTCTTTCTGCCTTTGATTTAAAAGGCCATTTCATGGCCCCTTCAGCACCAGTCTTTGCAGAACAGAACATTTACCACCCAGCTCCTTGTACCAGGGTGGCACAAGGCTGGGGATGAGCAGCTGGAGATGTAAAGGTGTTGTACCCACTGCTGCCGTTGAAAACTGTCTCATGAAACACAATCTGGGGGGAGGGAAAATGAGCATTGGGGTGAGATGAATGACATGGGGGAAGAGATTTTTGAATCAGCATTGCCACTGGAAAAATCCTGGGTTTGTGCATTTCTGCTGTATCCTCAGTGTCCTGAGGCTCCTGAACTTTTTGGCTGGGAAGAACGAAACAGGCCTGTTTGCTATTCATTATCTTTTTGTGCTTTCTTCAGTGTTCCTGAATATATTTATCTTGTACATGCATATGTAAAAACTTCTTATTCTAGTTATTTTTTACTTTCTGTCCTAAGGCTTGTGTTCCTACTAGTGAGGACATGCTGGAGACTAAGCAGGCATTGTTTAAACACTTCCCGTCTTGCTCCACGGGGACACTTCAATCTGTCTTGCTAAAGAGAAAAAAAGATTAATCATTCTTGGGTTTTGTTTTTTTAGAATACTTGATTCTGACAGTGAAACAAATTTGTGTGGCTTAACTGTGTTGCAGACACTGTTGTTTGAGTCATACCATCTTATTTTATCCAAGTTCTTCGAAATAACTCTCTGAAAGGTCAATCTTACTTTAGTAATTGGGATTTTGGGGGTTTGGTAGGAGCAATCTAGTTTCAAATAATTAACCTGGACAACATGTTGTTCAAGGAAGGAAAAATACCTCCCCCATTTCTCTGCTTTCCTCTATGCACAGGTTACCGAGCCCTGGGGTCTCGGAGTGCAGGTGAACACTGCTCACCTGTTTACTCCTCTGGAGAGGTGAGGAATGATCAGAATATGCAACTCCTTCTGCACAGTGGAGGAATTATTTACTGCAGATACAGACTGACAATAAATTAGTACACCCCCAAGAGTCTGGAAGGAACAGAGGAGGAGCAGTGAGTCACTCCTGAGTCATAGAGCCTCCCCGGATTTATCCTGGGATGATGTACTGCACGCACCACTCCTTGATCTGGTCTGTCTCGAAAGGACAACCCTGAATATAATTGTGGAAAAATAAATGCTAGCAGCAATCATTCCTTGGCAGCAGCAGACTTTATTATGTTTTGTAAGAGCCTCCCTGTATCAGGTCAGTATTTTGATAAGAAATGGTGAAAAAAAAACCAGAGCAGGTTGGTTTGGCTGCTCAGCCAGTCTGCAGTCAGGGGCTGTCAGATCACCCCTCTGCAGCCCTTGGCATGAGTCTAGGGGGGCTGTTTGTGATGGTTTTGAGGAACAATCAGAGATCCCTGCATTGTTAAAACCACGGGCAGAGGCAACACTTATTGTGCTTTTTCTTTCTCCTCCATTCCTCTAAAGGCTCTGCCTGCTGGGAGCATTTTCCCTACTCAGCACTGCTTGATGCCTGAGGCCACATGGATCTCCCAGCCCATGGTGTGCTGGGGACCTGCCCTGCTCAAGTCCCATTCCTGAGGGCAGGGGATGGAGGTTCCAGACCTCTGGCACAAACAAGGCGTCCTGTAATCAAAACCATCTGGGTTTTGCATTGGGTGGGAACCACCACTGGAGAATACCAATTGTGCCAGAAGCTTTCTCAGTCCAACAAAGTTCATGTAAGGCATTTGTGACAGTCCTGCACTGCTGGTTACAGGAGCAGAGGTATCCAGAAAACCCTGCAGTCTCTTGTGCCTCAGGCTTAAGTGTAATTCCAGCAGCCTCACACCCTTGTATGGCACAGCACATAGGAATAGAAAAGCTGCTTTAAAGTCACGTTCCTGTTCTTTGCCAAAGCACAGGAACAGAGGGGCTGAAAATGTGGAGTTTAGACTTTGTGATGTGTTCTGAGGTGGGAGCAGTACAAATTCCTCATAACCTCATCAGGACTGCTCACAGCATGTTCCCATCCTAGAGCTGTGTCTATGTCTGTCTTACAAGGAACCAAAATCAGGATTTGAACCCCTGTTTAAAGTATTTTGGTTGAAGGTATTTTAATCTCTTTGCAGCACTGACTACCCTTAGCTGGCAGGAGAGCTGCATGTTGGATTAGATATTAGACAAAAATCCTTCCCTGCAAGGGTGGTGAGGCCCTGGCACAAGTTGCCCAGAGAAGCTGTGGCTGCCCCATCCCTGGAAGTGTCCGAGGCTGGGTTGGATGGGGCTTGGAGCAGCCTGGTCTGGTGGAAGGTGGCAAGGACCTATTAGCTGTGTGAGATAAATGTGTGTTTTCTGCTTGGTTTGTAGCTGAAGGGGCCCAACAAGCATCAGAGCCAGCACATGATAAGCTTCAGGAATGTGTGGAGGAGGAGAAGTAATGGTTCCTTTCCCTGTAAAGATCAGACATGTATCAGATCAGCTCCTGTAACTTCACCCTGAACCTCCCACCATGTTCCAAAATTGAACAGGCAGCAGGTCAGTTAAAACTGAACAGGCTTTCAAACTCAGGTGCTGGTGCAGAGTGAGGGACCAGAGCTGTAACAACCCCAGAAACATAACTGAGGGTGCAAATGGGCCAGGAGGTTCTGATTTCTCCTTGTCTGACAGACCTCTTATCGTATCTCTTTCCTTATGAAAGTTTTATGAATCTTAAGTACATTAAATGTCAGCTATCTTGGCAGGGGTCTGTCTTAATGACAGTTCTCTTTTAAAAATGATGAACGTCCACTGTAGACATTCATTTCCCTTCTTCCTGTTGACCGAGAGGGGTATTGGAAACAGTCTCAGGAGAAGAAGCCTATGACTAAATGTCGTAGCATTAAAAATGTATCTAAAGAAACAAATACCCTTATTCCTATTTCTTTTGCACACATCACATGTGGTATAAATGAGAAGTTTGGGTTAAAGATTAGTGCTGAGTTTGATTTGAGAAGATTTAATGACACTGTGCTGAACCATAGAGTGTCACCAGGAGTGAATATAGCTGGACAGGAAAGCAAAATTCATTAGAACTGTCACTGCACAAGAAGGGACATTTTTTTCTGTGAATTTTCTATCATATGGAGTCCTGGTCCATGACCAGTTCTTGCTTCCTGCTGCATGAACAGCAGTTGTCACAGAATCACAGAATCCTGGAATGGTTTGGGTTGGGAGGGACTTTAAAGCCCATCTCATTCCACCCCCTGCCACTGGCAGGGACACCTTCCACTAGACCAGGTTGCTCCAGGTCCCGTCCAAGCTGGCCTCGATCACTTCTCATTGCACATTCTAATCAACTGATCACTCTGAGGCAGTAACAAACTCCCAGAAACCATACAATGATGTAACTTGACTTTATATATACATATTCAAATAATTTGATTAAGCACGTGTCGGAAGTTTGGCTGCTGTTTTTCTAAATAACTGAATCCAAAATAAGTTGCTACATCTATAAAAATAGCAGTTCCAGACAGACTCCAGATCAGAACGTTATTCACAACATTGGACTTGTGATCAATAGCTGGGAGAGTGTTGCTAGAAATAGTCCTGCCATGGGAAATGTACACGGCATTCGCTTCCTGCTGGCTCAGAACAGGTCATGCCCCAGTCCTTCTGCAAAATTTCTGCTGGATTTATCTTCAAGTACACACAGAATAAGCAAAGCTTCTTGACTCAGTGAAGAACTCTGTCTGAGTCCATCTGCCATACTGTCTGCAGGGCCGCTGAGGAGGAACCTGGAGGATGCGAGTCCTCAGCAATAGCTCTGGGAGAGGGGGACTGGGATTATTCTGTCTGGAGCAAACTGGCAAATTCTCACTTCACCTTCATCTTCTCAGCATCAGTGGGCTCCTTGAGGCAGGATGATCCCCACAGAAGGGTCACAGAATCATGGAATTGTTTAGGTTGGAAAAGCCCTCCCAGACCATTGAGTCCAGCTGTTCCTCAGCACTGCCAAGGCCACTGACTCATGTCCCCAAGTGCCACATCCACACTGCTTTTAAATCCTTCCAGTGATGGGGACTCCACCACTGCCCTGGGCAGCCTGTTCCAATGCTTCACAACCCTTTCCAGGAAGAAATTTTCCCAATATCCAACCTGAACCTTCCCTGGCACAATGTTTCCTCCTGTCCTGTCCCATGTTCCTGCATCAGTAAAACTGTTTGTATAGCCGAGCTGTGAATCAGGTCAGAAGCACTAAAATCACTAACACCCTCTGTTTATTTTGAACAAGGATGAATTCCTCATCCAGTCCACTCCATTTGTACAAGAATTTGCACAGCCTCTTGATGAACCGGATGGGAGATCAATCCAGCTGGAAAAGCAAAAACCTACATCCCCATTCCTACAAAAAAAAAGGATCTCCCAGCCAGATGATTCCTCAGTCTGTACTGTGCCGTGTGGAGACAGGACAAAGTGCTGTCTGAGTTACGCCTGAAGCAACACAGCCTGGGAATGCGAGACAGTCTGAGGCTACACCTGGAAACAATTTGCTCTCCATCCCTTTTTCCCCTCTCTCTCTCCCTGCAGCTGCCTTTTGCTTGGTTTCCCTATACAGCACAACAAGCACGGAGCAGGGATAATTCCTGTGCCCAGGGCTGGGGAGAGCTGGGGCTGCTGCCAAGGAAATGTCTTTGGAACTGGGGCCAACTAATCAGGTAAATGTTTTCAGTCTGCCCATGCCAAGCACTGTCCTTTGCTATTCTCCAAATATTTATGTCTTTGCTAAACACATAAACATTTCAACAGTGGTCTCTTATTTCCAGCACTCCATGTGAAGTTGCTGTTTCCATGCTCCTAAACCTCCTTCAATATGACGAATTTACTCTGGGGGAGCTCCTGACTTGCCTCACCAGAGGCACAGAGCCCCAGACACAAACCCACGAAGAGGAGGGATGGGAAGTGGTGATGGTATGGCTACACTGCTGCATGTTCCTTCATGCAGCTGAAGTTCCTTATTCCTCTTTTCCTTCCTTTTTTCCTCCCTCCTCCTTCTCCACATTGTTTACCATAAGAATTTGAGGTTTAAAAAGTGTTTGCCTCTGAACTTTCCAAAAGGAGTAAAAATGCAGAAGTTGGGAAAATTCATGTAAATCAGCTGGTTAATATAAATTTAGTCATTCAGTTAATGTAAATTCAGCTGGTATATGAGAGCTTGGCGTTTCATCTACTGTTTACTAATAATTTACACACTTAGTAAATCTTATCTTAAAATCCTGAACTCCCCAGTGATCTACACATAAGAATTTTCCCAGTTGGTTGAGTAATGAAGGAGCTGAATTAATCAGCATTGTGTGGTCTGTGGCAGACAGGAGATAAAATTCCCAAGTCCCCGTTACTTCATTTACTTTCTGCAAAAAGCCTTCTCCTGATATTTTTAGAGCTTAGAGGATGGCACTTACATAGCAAGTTACATCTAAATAACACGCTCTCCAAAGGTTTGCTATTTTCTTAATGTTCATGAATATTTCAGGAGCTCCTGCTAAGAGGTTTTGGTGCATTCCAGGACAATGATTCCAGGTTTCTCTTTTGCCTTAAGAGGAAATGTGGCTTGACTGTGACACACTCTGCATTATTCTTTTAGGGTTTATTGCTATTACAGAATCAGATCTCCTGAAAATATACCACCATCTTGAGTCCTTGATAGGAGATGGGCATCGTTTTGGCTGTTTTGAGAGCAAAGATCTCTCTAAAAATTCATTCATTCCCTTAAACCATGAGCAACACTGGATTTAAGGAAGGGAGTTTACTTTTCTCATCCTTCCAGCTCATTGTTTTCCATTACTTGACCTGGTAAATACACTTGGATAAAAATTTGCAGTGACAGCAACACACAAGATCAGCTAATTAGTCTTTTCCAGCTGTGATTTATTGTAAAAAAACTACAGTGATTTGCACCAGCATGTGGTATAGCATTTGGGAAAGGTTAGCTTCATTGTTGCACAAGTTAATTTAAATGTTTAAATAATTTCATTACTAATCTTCCTTTGCTTGCATTGATGCATTTTTAATATACTATATGACTTCTTAAAAATAATATTCTGTTTAACAGATACATCTGCTGCCTACGAAACTGAATGAATGCTTAAATAACATATAAAATCCGTGTCAGAGTTCACAACATGGGCTTATACTGATTGCTTTTCCTTTAA